CTTGGGACCAGCAGTTGGCATAATGGCTATGTCACTGGACTCCCATGTAGTCAACCACGGTTCGAGTCCTAGACCTGGTGGCTTAAACTCAAGCCGGGAGCGTGTGCGTGCATGCCCAAAATCCCGAGAGGACAATGGGGGAGAATGGATTGCAGCGTGGCTATCCCCCCTGGGGGGGGATTTCTTGCTTTCTGTCTCTCTGTCTCTGGATGGTGAGTGCACGCACCCTATAGCAAAAACCTCTCCAAACAAACAAACAAACAAACAAAAGATATGTAATAACCCCAAATGCTGAGAAGTGAATTCTGTTTTCCTCTCACTACTGGGTCCACCTCCCTCTCTCTCTGATGAGCGCACACACCCTAAAAAAGAAAGAAAACAAGCAATCTTCAAAACCGTCTAATAATGAAAAGTTAAAGGATGTTTTTAGGTCACACAGACACAGAAGTCTACAAATCAAGTGTCGCTTCCACTGCAAAAGCATGGTTGGGAAGCCAAGCAGAGGTGCAGCAGTAACAGTGGATTCACATACCAAAGGTCCTGGGTGCACATCTTCTCTGACAACTGGCATGTGCATGTGCTGTGAGCCAGGCTGGCTGAGACTAGGGATGGATGAATGACAAAGACTCTTTTGGGGACCTGCCTCTCGCTCTCCCATGAAAGATATAAATAAAAAAGACTTGAGGGAAGGGAACCAGTGGATGGCATAATGGTTACTTCCCTGGACTCCCACACAGTCAACCACGATTCGAATCCTGGACCTAGCAGCTTAAAACTCACGCTGGGTACGTATATGCGTGCCCAAAATCCCAAGAGAAGAATGAAGGAGACGAGACTGAAGTGCGGCCATCCCCCTGGGGGTGATTTCTCACTTTCTGTCTCTCCGGCAAGCACAAGCTTCCTATAGCAAAACTCTCTTTAAAAAAAAAAAACTTTGGCGGGGTAGGGGGCATGATAGGGCCTTAAGGCTTCATTTAATTCTTTGTGCTCCATCAAAACTAGAAAAAACTCAGGGCCAACAGATGGCATAGCATCTGTTATGTCACTGTACTCTCATGTAGGTGACAGCGGTTTGAGGTTTGGATCCGGTGGCTTGAAACTCACACCAGGCATGTGCATGCATGCCCAAAATCTCAGAGGGGGAATGGAGAAGGGATTGTGGCATGGCCATTCACCTTGGGGGATCATTTCTCACTGTCTCTGTTTCTCTCTCTCCAGCAAGTGCACACATTCTAAGGAAAAAACGTCTTAAAACTTTTAAAAAAGCGGGAGAGGGGGCAGCAGGTGGCGTGGTGGTCAAGGGTGTTGAACTCCTACATGGCCAACTACAATTTGAGTCCTGGACCTGGTGGCCTGCTTTCTCAGTTTCCCTCTCTCTCTCTCACATTTGTCCTTCACTGGTCAAATTAAAAATAAATAAATAAAGTTAAAATAATAATTTTTTTTTTTTGGAGAGGTTTTCACTATAGGGCGCGTGCACTCACCAAACAGACAGAGAGAGGAATAGAGACAGAAAGCGAGAAATCACTCCCTAGAGGGGGTGGTCACACTGCAATCCCTTCTCCTCCATTCTCCTCTTGGGATCTTGGGCACGCACGCACACGCGCCTGGCGTGAATTTTAAGCCACCGGGTCCGGGATGCAAACCGCGGTCGACTACGTGGGAGTTCAGCAACATAGCCATTACACTAACTGCTGGTTCCCAAGTTAAAATAATTCTTTAAAAAAATTTTTAACTATAGCTCAAACAGTTTATGACTTAACACATCCCTTCACAAGAACAGCTGTGAGCCCAGGAACATAGAGATATTATAACATGACTGTAATAACTCCCACCCATGCTTGCTTGATCCTAGTCCTCTTAAGGGGCTCCATCCTGCCTCTTCAGTCTTCCTTGTTGATTAGTGCACATTACTTCCTGCCTACATTGTACATTTTAGCATTTGCAGACTTTGTAACTTTGTTCTCAACTACATTTGAAACTCCTCAAGAGACCTTCAACAACAAATTCTTTGAGATTATGGGATGCTGTGCTTAATAAAGTCAATGAGATCTTTGGGAAAGCAGGTGGCATGGTGGTCAAGGTGCTGGACTCTCATATGGTCAACCACAGTTTGAGTCCTGGAACCAGTGGCTTGAAAATCACACCAGACGCTGGGACCAACAGTTGGCGTAATGGCTATGTTGCTGGATTCCCATGTAGTTAACCACAGTTCGAGTCCCGGACCCGGTGGCTTAAATTCACGCCAGGTGCATGTGTGCCCAAGATCCCAAGAGGAAAATGGAGAAGGGATTGTGGCATGGCCATCCCCTCTGGGGGGGATTTCTTACTTTCTGTCTCTGTCTCTCTCTGTCTTTCCGGTGAGTGCACACACCCTATACCAAAAACCTCTCAAAGAAAGAAAAAGAAAAAGAAAATCATACCAGGAGCATGTGTGTACATGCCCAAAGTTCTAGGAGGATGGAAGAATAACTGTAACATGGCCATTCTCTCTGGAAGTGAGTTCTCACTTTCCCTCTCACTGTTTCTATCTCTCTTGAGTGAGCACACATGTCCTATAGCAAAAACCTAAAAAAAAAAAGAAAAAGAAAAGAAAATCACACTGGGCACATGTGCATGCATGCCCAAAATCCCAAGAGGAGAATGGAGAAGGGATTGTGGCATGGCCATTCCCCTGGGGAGTGATTTCTCTCCTTTTCTCTGTCTCTCTCCAGCAAGTGCATATGCCCTAAATCAAAAATCTAAAGAAAAAAGAAAAAGAAAAAGTTCATGTGATCTTATCTATTTTAAAGAAATACAGTGTCAGATACAGGGCATATCAGTGATGGTCCTGCTTTGCCCACAGTATAGTCTACTTGGAGAAGAGCTCTGACAACATAGGGCTGAAAGGACTTTAAACTGAATATATTATAGAACTGAGTGTGCAACAGAGTTTCAGAGGAAACAAGACTGTCTTTGAACATACAAGAGCACTCAGGAGACCAGCCTTGCTCTGCCTTTTTTTTTTTTTTTTTTGGAGAGATTTTCACTGTAGGGCGCGTGCGCTCACCAGACAGACAGAGAGAGACATAGAGACAGAAAGCGAGAAATCACCCCCCAGGGGGGATGGTCACGCCGCAATCCCTTCTCCTCCATTCTCCTCTCGGGATCTTGGGCACGCACGCACACGCGCCCAGCGTGAGTTTTAAGCCACCGGGTCTGGGACACGAACCGCAGTCGACTACGTGGGAGTCCAGCGACATAGCCATTACGCTAACTGCTGGTTCCCTTGCTCTGCCTTTTGTAAGCAGAGGGTAGAAACAGTGTTTCTGGTGATTACTGTAGGAAAAGAAGAGGGCATCAGGGGAGATAGCCCAGAAGTGCAGTCAACCAGGAAGGATGTAGTCAAGGTAAGAAGAGCAGGGGACCCCCGCCACCATCAGGTCTGCAAGTAACTTCTGGTCTAAGACTCTACCATGCCGCTTCTGTCTCCCATACAGGGTAAGCACTACCATCAGAACTTACCAGACACGCATCACATACTGCGCTGAACAAACCAAGTCACTGAGTGGAACAGACCAGGAACACAGAAGAAAATGTGACTCCTCTTGTACTTGCCCCCACAGGCTACTAGCAAATCAGGTCAGCTCAGCTTTCAAAGCATATCTCCACCCAGACCACCACTTACAAGAGCCACTGCCTCAGTCCATGCCACCACGGACTCCAGACCTCTTTTTGCTAATCTCCCTGCTCACTCTTGCCCACTCCCAATCAGCTTATTCTCAAAAAACAAAAATAGAATAATATTGTTTAAATACAGGCCATGGTGCCGAAAGGTGGTGTGGTGGTTAAGGTGCTGGACACTCCCACATGGCTAATCACAGTTTGAGTTCCGGACCTGGTGGCTTGCTTTCTCACTTTCTCTCTCTCTCTGTCTGTCTCTCTCTGGACAAATTAAAATAAATGAATAAATTAAATTATATAAATAATTATTTTTTAAAAATATGGGGTCAGCAGTTACATTGATGGACTCCCACATGGCCAGCCTGGACTGGTGGCTTGAAACTGAGGCCAGGCTCCTAGGTGCAAGCCCCAAATCCCAGAGAATGGAGAAGGGATTGCGGTGTGGCCATCTCCCAGGGGTGGGGTGGGGGATGGGGAGGATTTCTTTCTGTCTCTGTTTCTCTATGTCTGGAGAGCACAAGCACCTTATAGCAAAAATTTCTCTCAAAAAAATTTGGGACCAGCAGTTAACATAATGGCTATGTCGCTGGACTCTCATGTAGCGAACCATGGTTCAAGTCCCCAACCCGGTGGCTTAAACTCACGCCGGGTGCGTGTGCGTGTCCAAGATCCGGAGAGGAGAATGGAAGAGAAGGGATTCCGGTATGGGCATTCCCCCTGGAGGGTGATTTTTCGCTGTCTCAGAAAAAAAAAAAAAAAAAAAAAAAAAACCTCTCCAAAAAAAAAAAATTATACATACACATACCTTCCTCAGTATCCCCCACCCAAACCATGACTCCCCTACACTTAGCGCAAAATCAAAACTCCTTACCATCACCATACCAAGGAAGACCAGTCTTGCACGCCCCTCTGACATCATCTACCAGTCTCCACTCAACCCCAGGCCAGCCCGGCCCTCAGCTGGCTAAACTGGCTCCCACTTCGGGGTTTTGGCACCTGCTGCTGTCTCTGCCCTAATCGCCCTCCCTCCAGATCTTCCCATGGTTAGGTCCTTCCTTGGATTTCAAGCTCGAGCTCGAACGTCCCCTCGTGGGGCACGCACTGCCTGGCCACCCCTGCTGTCACACGACCTGTCTCGTCGTTTCTGTAGCCCCCCTCTCTCCGGGTCTCTAACTCTCCAGACCGTGAGCACCCCGAGACTGCGGCGCACGCCCTCCCTGGTTGCTATCTCCCAGAGCCCGTAGCGAGCGAGTCTGGCACAGAGTGCGGCGTGTGTGCCCCGAATCCTGGACCCCGGCCTGCTTCCCACCGATTCTGCCCGCCCATCCGGCCCGCACCTTCTTCCAGAGGCTCCAGGCCCGTCCCATAGCTGACCAGGTCCTCATCGCTGTCACTGTCGGGCGCCGCCATCCTGCTTCCTTCCGGGCCCCGCCCCCTCGCTACGGGCGCCTCGGCGGGCCAAAAGCCTCTCGTTCTTTTTCCTCCGCGAATCAAAGCAACTTTGGGAAGTTAAGTCGACAGGCTCAGCCTAGCGCTGCCACCAGCCCGGAACGTACGCCCAGAGGTTCTCAGGACGGTCCTAGATGAGGGGAAATCCAGGCAGGAGCTGCCTCGGAGGATTTGACAGCAAGGACATCCCGTTCCAGCTCTGTGATGTGCGGGTCTAGCGGAGACGCCTGGAAGAAGCTGGAAGCCACCTGGCTGTCCCTCCGCGAGACAGAGGCAGGATCTTTGTGATGCAACAGCTGGAACCGGCTCTCCACAGACCCCGGTCCCTCGCCCCAGGCTCCCTCTACTGCCAGCAGTCAGGGCCTCTTTCCAGAGAACTCTGCCTGGGCCGCCTGTGCTCCCAGTTGTGCCCGCTCGCCCCGCCGTGGGTGTACTTAATGCTGGAGATGAAAGTAGATACGAGATGCTGCACTTGGTGTTGTAAAGCCCGGAGGGGAATGGGGACATACCCGCACATGCACACGCTCACACATACACACACTGTGTGGCGCCGTCCCATTTGCAGACACTGGGACCTCCGTGCCCCTGGTGGGAACAGTAAGAAACATCACTTGATCAAAGTGAAAAAGAAAAGGATAAGAAAAGAAAAGGAGACAAAGAAAAAGGTAAAGAGGAAACAGGAATAAAGAGAAAAAAGGGGGGAAAATGAGGAAAAACTCGAGAAAAGAGAATAAAAAGGCAGAGAATACCAAAAGACCGCTGTGAGATGGGGTAGGATTGCCGGATGCTCCCTTACTGAATCTAAGGAAGCAAACACCTGTCAAATGGGGTGCTGGTATCCTTTATATTGCCGGAAGGCACATAACCTGTCAAATACAAAGAGAAAGTTCATTCCAATGGGGAGTGGTCCCTCCACAATCCTTTCTCTCCATTTTTTTCTTCCCACTAGGATTTGGAGCATGCGTGCTCCAGTGCCCACAAAGCTTTTCACAGTGCTGTGTGGGATTCGAACCTTGGTGCCACACAGTCGGCCATGTGGAATCCAATTCCCAATGCACAGTGCTTACCCACTGTACTATGGGTGCTCACTCACTCCAAAACCCCTTTTTATGGAGGAGAAAAAAAATGAAGCTCAGCTAGTGAGAGGTGAGACTGAGGTGAAAACCTGAAAATAAGGGCCAAAATTCCTGAGTGGGGGCTGGCAGGTGGTGTGGTGGTTAAGGGTGCTGGATTTCCACATGGCCAACCATGGTTCAAGTCCTAGACCTGGCAGCTTGCTTTCTTTTCTTTCTTTCTTTTTTTCTTTTTTCTTTTTTGGAGAGGTTTTTGCTATAGGGCGCGTGGGCTTGTCAGAGAGACAGAGAGACAGAAAGCAAGAAATCACTCCCCAGGGGGGATGGTCACACCACAATCCCTTCTCCTCCATTATCCTCTTGGGATCTTGGGCACGCCCGCCCGGCATGAGTTTAAGCCACCGGGTCTGGGACTTGAACTGCAGTCGACTACATCGGAGTTCAGCGACATAGCCATTACGCTAACTGCTGGTCCCACAGCTTGTTTTCTCACTTTCTCTCTCTCTGTCCCCCTCTCTGGTCAAATTAAAATAAATAAATAAAGTTATATAAAATAATTCTGTTTAAGAAAAAAAAAAAAGACTGAGTTTTTTTTTTTTTTTAAACTCCTGAAGATGTAGTTAAAAATGTCCCTCCCCACCTATCCCCCAGGCTTCTGAATCAGATTCTCTGACACTGCCTTGCGCACTCCCTGCATGCTCCCACGCCAAAACATCTGAACTCACTGTTCCCTCTGCTTGGAATGCTCCCACCCCCCAAATATAACATGACTCACTACCTCTCCTCCAGGCCTCTGCTCAAAGGTTACTTTCTCAGCAAAGCCTTCTCCGACCCTACTTAAAAGGCCATTTCTATCTTCTGCAGCCCCTACCCCCTCACTCAACTTCATATTTTCCACAGCACTTAACACCTCCTACTACATTACAGTATATAATTTGATTCACTTATGTATTATATTTATTGTCTTTTTTTGTACCTTGGGATGTAAACTCCAGAGGGCATGGATCTGGGGTTTTTTGTTTGTATTTCCTTTTTACTGTAGTCTCTGAATTTAGAACAGCCCTTGACATGTAGTAAGCACCAAATAAATGTATTTTATACATTTTATTTTATTATGTATTTCTTTTTTTTTCTTTTTTTTTTCTGCTATAGGGCGCGTGCGCTCGCCAGACAGAGACATAAAGACAGAAAGCGAGAAATCACCCCCCAGGGGGGATGGCCACGCCGCATTCCTTTCTCCTCCATTCTCCTCTCGGGATCTTGGGCACGCACGCACACGCACGTGTGAGTTTTAAGCCACCGGGTCCGGGACGTGAACCGCGGTCGACTACGTGGGAGTCCAGCGACATAGCCATTACGCTAACTGCTGATTCCCTTTCCTTTTTTTTCTATAGAATTGTTTAAGAATTATTTTTATTTAACTTTATTTATTTATCTATTTTAATTTGACTGGAGAGGGACAGAGTAAGAGTGAGAATGAGAAAGAGAGAAAACAAGCCGCCATGTCCAGGACTTGAACCACAGTCGGCCATATGGGAGTTCAGTGCCCTTAACCACCATGCCACCTGCCAGCCCTTTTATTATTTATTTTTTCCATGAGAAAGAAACAGAGAGACAGTCATCCCCAGGGGAGTCCCCATGCCATAGTCCTCCCCCAGCTAGCCTAGACCATGGCCACATCTGCATGCTTGGCTTGCTTAGGGAGACCCTAGGATGTGAACTCAAAACCTTTCCCACATAGATCCAGCTGCATCACCTCTGGCCCCTCAGCAAATATTTTTTTTTCTTTTTTTTTTTTTTTTTTTTGGGGGAGGTTTTTCCTTGAGTG